TGAAGATTGTTTATTGACTAAAGAGAGGGAAGCACTTGCTTGCAGTGGAGAAATCTGGCAGGTCGGAGACTCGCCAGCTGGTACATCTGCCGTCATCAGGGAAGGCAGAGTTCTGTGTGCTCGCTCAGAGGACCCAGCGTCACCCGTGTGGCATTCCCACCAGAAACGTTCACTTCTGAGACCTCATCTTGCAGGCACAGTCAGATCCAGAGGGAGGGGCAGTTTCAACACAGCCTGAACTCTTCAAAAAGGTCAAGGTCATGAGCAACCAGAAGTGACCGAGGACCTGCTCTTGATCCAGAGAGACTAGCAAGACAGCCATGCAGTGACCCCACACCAAGCAGTCTGAGGGGTCATGCTGGGGCTGCGCAGGGGGTGTCTGGGCAGGGGCTGAGTGCCGCAGAGCCGTGTTGTGTCAGAGGTCGTGTCCTTGTTCTTGGAAGGTGAGCGGAAGCATTTAAGGAGGAAATGTCACGGTGTTTGCAATGTACTTCCCGTTGGTTCAACAAAAATAAATACAGCGTTCGGCACACATAACACCCCCTTTTTATTATAAAATCTTTTACTACAAAGTCATAAGTGTGCAATTCTGTAACGTAACATCACACCCAAGCACACCATACGACATTTTAGGCGAAATGTTCAAATTAAAACTATATATTATCACACCTATATTATTGCCCTACCAACCACACTCAAGCAGGCGTCTCTTCTGCCGGACCCTGTAGAAAAGGTAAAATGTTGCCAGTTCACAAATCTAAGTGAAAAGTACATGTGTGTTCACCTAGTATTGAAACTGTTTTGTGGATTTGGAAATTCTCAAAAGGGAAGAGAATGGAACGGTGGGTGGAAGCAGTTACCCTCCCTCACTGGATGCGCACGTTCATGTAAAGACTAACGGGAACGTTTTCAAGGAGGTGGAGAGAGCAGGGCTCACACTAGGCTTTCATTTCATTGTCATCTCCGGTAAAGTCATCCTGGCTGCGGCACGGTGAAACACCCGCACGCCGCAGCTGCCTCCGTGACTTGGTGGCAGGGATATGAGAGTGGGGATGGATGCGCAAATATTTGTCCTCTCTCCTTGAATGTTTACCCCGTTACAGTCTAATTAGTCCTTACGCTTATCAGTCAGTACTTGATCTAGCCTGGTTTTATCCTGAAGCTTACGTTTTCTCTGGCATTAACATCCCCAGAAGCTGGGCCAAGTCTTTGCAAATCTTTAAAAGTCAGGCGTCTGAGGCATCCTTGAATCAGAGCCTTGGAGGCCAGACCTATGTCAGAAGTGAGGAGTGAGAAGGCCAGACCTATGTCAGAGTGAGAAGAGAGGTCTGTGGACCTCTCCTGAAATCAGTAGAGTTGGGGGCCTTCTCTTCTAGAAGGGGTCCCCTCCTATCAGATTCCTGAGGGATTTATGACTAAAGTGATGAAGAGCTAGTGCCTTCGCTTCATGAACCTCTGTAATTATCTTCACTTGCTCGCCCTGCAGTGCCTCAGCCCCCCTCCCTCCCTGTCCCGCTGCCCACCTCCCCCTGTGCACCGGGCCAGGAGGCTGCATGAGTCTGGCTACTCAAGTCTAGCTGCTCTCCCTAGACTCTCTGGTCCCAGTGGGACTGGGGTCCCTTCACAGAGCACAGGAAAAGCATTTGGGGGTCCCACGCATGGGAGGACGAGATGCAGCGGTAAGGTTTATTAGGATAGAATAGAAAACTATCCCCACCATGCTCTGGGGGTCCCAACCCCATTCACCCGCTTTGGGGAACATCCAGTCTCATTTCCATGAAGTCCAGAAGAAGGGCCCAGATCCAGAAACTCTGGGCCATCAATTCACTTTACGCCAAAGCCTAGTGCCATCCAGCCTCTGTCCCTACCCGGCTAGCGTAGTCTGTTCCCAGCTGTGTTCCAGCCCGCGCTGCGCTGCTGTGTCCAGGACCCAGGCCACTTGGAGCCTGCACTTGGGGCCCCAGGGCTGTGAGGCCCACCCATTACTGGGCAAGAGTCCTGATCACATGACCTCAGTCTTGGGAAGGGCCAGGTGTTCTTTCAGACTGACCAGTCCCAATCTGTCCCAGGCTCGTGCTGGCCCCTCATCCTGTCCTTTCCCCAGACCAGACACCTTCCCCTCGTGGTCTCCATTTTGGCTCCTGATGCACGTACATCCAGCAGGGGAATTTCTCCTGCTGTTCCTGTTCCTCCCTTGACAACCTCGGCTATTGACCGGTGCCATCCTGCCCACCTTAGGGACTAGGCCCGAGAGCGGAGGACGCAGTGGCCTGCTCCGTGTGTGTGAAGCTGTAACTGCCCAGTGAAGTGGGCTAGGGTCTTACTCAGCTCCCTGCTAGATTGGGCTTGTTAGTGTCCGACTCTTTGCTCTCTCCCTTTATTAGTATCTAGCCACCTGCGCTAACACCTTTAAGAGTCCCATTTGCCTTCTGAGGGCAGAGTTTTTATGTGATCACGAGCAAGTGTGAAAGAAAAACACTCCTCTGTGCGTCTGCATTACTACTCACACAGAGCACGTCCCTTCTGACACTTCCGTCACCAAACGTGGGGAGTCCCCTAAATGTGTGGGGGGTTCTCAATACCCAGCAGTTCTCAGCAGCACCAGCTGGGCGTCCTGTTATTCAGCTAGAACCCGGCACTACTTGGAGTTGACATCCAATCCTGCGGGTAAGGGCTCCTGCACCCCCGCACCCTCCTCTCCGTAAACCTTCCCAAGTCCCAGGTTGTCACCTGTGCTGCGACCACCTGGCTCCGAATCGAGGTTTCCACAGCCCCCTCCTGGGTTCGGAAGCCCGTTGGTATGGCTCAGAGTTCAGGGAGTCACACCTACTGGTTTAGTAGAAAGGATACAATGCAGGGTATGGGTGACCTGCCTGGCCCACAGGACGGGGTGTGGGGGAAGGGCTCTCTGACAGGCCCCAGCAGCTCTGCAGTTCCTGCTGTGAGGACGTGTCTGGGGCGGAACTGCCCTCCCGAGCGTGGGGGATGGGCGAGGGCGAGAGCTTCTCCTGGCCTGGTTTACTGGTGACCAGCCGTGGCCAGAGGAGGCCTCCTTAGAACTGAAGTCTCTCCTGTCGCCTAGGAAATGCCAAGGGACCCAGGAGCCCTGTGCCGGGAGCCAGGGGCAGCGATAACGCATTTTTTACTTCCCAGCAGGTAGTGTTCCACTCGCTTTGAGAGGCTAGCAAGCTTTCAAGAGCGTTGGTCATTGTGTGTGCTCCATAAATGCTGCTGGATGGATGACAGAAATAATTAAACACTCTTTTCCCACACAGCTTCCCAGTGAAAGTAGGCGGAGCACGCGTAGCGTCCCTTGAGTGAAGGAGACCTGTCGACAGGGCCCGGCCCCTGGCTGCTGCTCTTCCAGCCGTGTCTTCCGGAGGGTGCCACAGACCGCTCTGAGCCGTGTTTGTGCCTGGTGTGGTTATAAAGCAATGAGACTGATCGTCATGTGTCGAGTGTGGGATCCGTCTCAGTTACTTTATAGCCAGGCCGGCACCTCGTGCTGCTCGCCACTGCCTGCCGGACAACCTTGGACAGCGCAGACCTGGGCCCCTCGGTGCAAGGTCAAGTGCGTCTGCGGAGGACTGCGGTGTCCTCTGACTCCACTGTCGGATTTTTTTCTTTCAGAAACACAGACGCTAACTTTGTTGCTTGCTTTAAATTTACAGTTTTCGTTTTGTTTTGGGGTTTTAATCTGTGTTCTGATAAATCGCTATTCTCATAAAGTGACTGGCACAATTTTGAATAAGGTAACACAAAGGTGCACGGGGTTAAATTTTTCATGAAACCACTTTAGATGACTGAGTTTGTTCTCCGTTGCCTGTGCTTGTTGGCTGCATGTGATATGAGGACAGTCCCTTTAGTTATAAACTCAATTAAACATGCAGACCAAATATTTCACGGTGGTATTTATTGAAGAAGCCTTTAAAAAGGGCAAGTTTTGAGGGGTTGGTTTATTTTTGTCTCGGTGGTCCACATTTACGTGCACAAACCTTATTCAGATTTGAATAAGTGGTTTCTAACTTTCTCTTCCCCAAATAAAATGTCCTCCTTCCTCCAACACCCAGAGTCTCTGGGACTCTTTGAAGAAGGCAGATGGTGGGAGGTGCAGGTTGCTGGGCGGCCCTGGCAGCAGCTGATGAAGGATGGCTGCCAGCAGCTGGAGTGGTGGCTAAAAGCTCTGTTTCCTTAAAGGAGAGTGAGGAAGGAGGAGAAGTGGGCTGGGACTTCCCACTCCTCCGAGAGTCGCTGCCTTTCCCGCATTATCGCCGGGAGAGGGTAGACGCACCCTCGGAACGTCCTCCTGCGCAGTCTGCGCGGTAGCAGGACCTCCGCACAGCCGAGAGAACGGGAAGCCTTGCGATAGCAGATCCCTCAGCGTCGAAGGCTGGGTCTGTCCACGGATGAGTTTGGTTTCCAGCAGGTTTGGGGGGAACCAGAGAGGAACCTCCCTCCAGCCAGGTCTGGACATAGGCCTGGCTCGGCTGTTACCAGGCGCCACCGTCTGGCACGTCACTGTCACTAACTCAGTCGTCCGCTCTGTGTCCTGGCACTTAGCGCCCCGATGAGGCTGCACCCATGTGCTGTCTGCACATGGCAGGGGTCGCACGAGCATCCTAAGAGTGGTTAGTGTAAAAGGTACTGATTTCTATATATAAATAATAACACTTTTCTCACTTTCTTAAGGGGTTGGACTTTCTAAAGAGCCTTTTAAGATGGAAGACGTTTTTGTATCTCGTGTTTCTTGCCACATAAGGCAGTGTTCTGGACTGTTATCACATTTGACTGGGTTTGGTAATTTTTTTAAATACAGTTGTAACGCAAGTCGCTGCGGCGGTCCACACTGCCGCCCGGTAGCGCCCCGTCTGTCCGCAGTGCTGCCCACAGTGCCTGCCGTCTGCAGAAACAGTGGCGCGGTTTTTCTGAGCACTTTTCAGTGCTTGCTCTCCGTGAGTTTAGAGCGGCATGCGAGCGTACGTGTCTGCTTTACGTTGCAGGCACGGGGGACATCATCGCCGTGATGATCACAGAACTGAGGGGCAAGGACATTCTGAGCTACCTGGAGAAAAACATCTCCGTGCAGATGACGATCGCCGTCGGCGCGCGGATGCCGCCAAAGAACTTCAGCCGGGGCTCCCTCGTCTTCGTGTCCATATCCTTCATCGTTCTGATGATCATCTCCTCGGCGTGGCTCATATTCTACTTCATCCAGAAGATCAGATACACGAACGCGCGCGACAGGAACCAGGTGAGCGTCAGGGCTCTGGGGCTGTGCGTGCTGCCAGTTCGCGGGTGTCTTCTCAGGTTGCTGAACGTTTTCACCTTCGGTTATTTTAATGTTGGGAACCTGTCTACGCGAGTACTTTAAGGGTATTTTAAATGCCTGCGTGGGGAAATTACTAAATTATAGGGGTCACGTGGGGGTGTTCTAAGTAGATGTTCAACTTAACATCATATAATGATCGAGCTAGTTCTGGTACCTGGGAGAAGTGCAGAAAGCCGCGTTTTCACACAGGGGGCTCTGGGTGTCGGTGGGAGGGACTGGAACGTGGAGGAGGGAACTTCTCCTTGCACACCTTCTTGTTTCCTGAAAGTTTTGAACCAGGTGTCACCTGTTCAGAGGAAGTAAGTCCGTTAAGAACAAGTCATCCTACCTAAGCGTGGCTGCAGGGTGACGCTGAGGGGGCAGGGCCAGCGAAGAGCTGAGATTCCGTGGCCCAGCCCGCGTCTCGGTGGGCTTCGGGGGAGGGGGAGAGTGAAGACACAGGGAGGGTGGGCTGCTGGCTGTTGCACCTACTGGTGGGGTTCAGGCAGTTTGTTTGCTACCTGGTTGTTTGATGTGCTGTAGACAAAATATCCCCCTTGGGGGCCGAGATCCAGGCCTGAGGGCCCTGCGCGGTCCTGGGCTTTCCTTCTGGGAAGCTAAGGCGTGACTTGCTTGGCGAAACCAGTTTGTGTCCGGCCATCCTCTCCTTAAACAGCCCCCCAAACCCCTGGGGGGGGTGAATTTTCACCCTCCCTCATTCTGGTGGGAGGGAGGGGCACGGGCTTCGTTCGCCGCACGACAGACAGCGGTCCGAGTCCAGCTCCGAGCCTGCCACCGGTTCACTGTGTTCCTCCTGCTGGTGCGTCCGGCTTCCCAACGTGCTTCTGCGTCTGCAACTGGAGTAAAATACTTTATTGAACTTGTACCAGGTTCTGTGCAGTGTCTTGTACACCTTTAAATTTTTTATTTTACTTTTTTTATTACTTGTCATTTCAGGCTTAGAGAAAAATTGCAAGAACAGTTTAAAGTAGTATAAAGTATTCCCGTACCCAGGTTCTTCAGCTGTAAACGGTTCACCGTATTTCCTTTCCCGTGTGTGCGTGTCGTTTAACCATTGGAGAGTCAGTTCGTGAAACGGTGCCCCTCTGCCCTTCAACCCTGTGCTGTGCATTCCCTAACATAGCGCCACCCGGTCTGAGCTGCAGACCTCTCTGAGACCTCGTGGACTGTCCCAGTGTGTCCTCGCAGCAGGGATGTGCCGGGCTCTTCCGTCAGCTCGAGTGCTGTGCGTGCTGGTCCTGTCTCTTTCCCTGTGTCGTGACTTCGACGCTTTGAAAGAGGTACAGGCCTGGTGCTTTCCGTCTGAGTTTGCCCGATGTCTGCTGTGTCTTCATCGTCACGTCCGGGCGACCTGTGCTTCTGTCAGGAATGCCAGTCTTACGCATTTGGCAGACTCGTTACCTTGGGGTCGTTGTAGATTCACCTGCGTAAACAAGAAGTAAGACCATGTGCAACCTCTGCCCATTTCTCCTCAGTGGTGAAATCTCGCAGGAATGGTGAATGTCACAACCAGGATGTATGTTTCTTTAAGATGTTACTTACTGATTTTTGGAGAGAGGGGAAAGCAAGGGGAGAGGTAGAGAAACACCAGTGTGTACTTGCCTCTTCCACACCCCCTACTGGGGACCTGGCCCACAACCCAGGCACGTGCCCTGACTGGGGATCGAACCAGCGACCCTTTGGTTTACAGGCCTGCACTCAGTCCACTGAGCTACAGCCAGGATATTGACATTGAAACAATGCAGTGACCTTACTCAGATTCCCCTAGTTGACTTGTACTTGTTCACGGGTTTTTACTACTGTGCAAAGTCAGGTGACCACTGACCACATCAAGATGCAGAACGTCTCGACGTGTGTCAGAAGGACCCCTCGTGCTGTTCCTCTGTAGTCACCGTCATCCCCCTGTTACAGACCCTGCCTGGCCCCCAGTCCCCACTGGTCTGTCCCGAATGCTGCGGTTTTGTCATTTCACGGGGGCTGTGTCAGTGGAGTCACGTGGTACTTGATTCACCTAACCTAAGCCCCTTGAGATCCTTCCAAATCATTGTGTGTATCAGCATTCACTCCCTTTTAATGCTCAGGAACATTCCATGGCTTGGACATGCCACAGTTTGGCAAATCACATTGTTTCCAGGTTCTGGCTGTTACACTTACAGTGACTGTGAACACTCACAGAGAGGTTTCGTGTGGACATGAGTTTTCACATCCCGGGGACGCAAGTTCAGGAGTGAAACGTGGGGTTGCTATGGAAGCATGTACTTAGGTGAGAAGCTGCCGTACTCTTTCCCCAGTGGCTGTCCTCCTTCCCCTTTCCCACCAGACACATCCCCCCAGTCCCATTCCTGCCATTCTTCAGTGCATTTGCTGTCATCGCTCTTTTTTAGCCACTCTGATGGGGGTAGTAACATCTGTGGTTTTCCTTCACGTCTCCAGTGGCAGCTGATGGTGGAAGCCTTGCCCTGGCCTCCCCAGCACAGGGGCCGCCTCCCCAGCACAGGGGCCGCCTCCCCAGCACAGGGGCCGTCAGCGGCTCTCGCCCATCCTCCACTTGCGGCGTTCATGTTTGCTGTGGAGTTCTGAGAGCTTTGTGCCTTCTGAGTACAGGTCCTTTGTCGGAATTGTGGTTTGCCGTTTTCCTTCCAGTTTGTATCTTGTCTTTTCAGCCTTTTAACAGGATCTTTTGAAGAGCAGAATTTGTAAGTTTGGATGAGGTCCAATTTATTGATTTTTTTCCCTTTTATGAGTTGTGCTTTTGCAGTCAAGTGTAAAGATCTTTATTTTTTCTAAAAGTTTTATAGTTTTACACGTTACATTTAAGTCTGTAGTTCATTTTGAGTTTTAACTTTTATACAAAGTGTGAAGTTTAGATTGAGGTTATTTATTTTTGCTTGTGCATGTCCAGTATTGCACCTTTGTCAGAAGCCAATTGGGTCTCTTGGGGGGGGTGGCGTGTGTACACCCCCTGCTTTCTCTCCTGCTGATATCCCTCTGTCCACACCACAGAGTTTTGTCTGTATGTGAGGCTTTAGTATTGGGTAGAATGACTCTTTTCACTTTATTCTTATTTTTCAAGGTTGTTTTATCTATTCTCAGTCTTTACAGCTTTTCCACATAAATTTTAGAACAAGCTCTCCTGTCTTGGGAATAAAAAACCAACCTTGCTGGGGTTTTGGTAAGAAAATATTAAACCTATAGATTAATTTGGGGATAACTGATGTTAAATCAGTTATCGGAACATCAATTATCCCCATGTTGAATCTTCCAGTTTATTAATTTTGTGTGTTTTTGCATTTATTTTTTTTAAAGATTTTATGTATTTCTTTTTAGAGAGAGGAGGAGGGAGGGAAAAGAGAGGGAGAGAAATTTTTATGTGAGAGGCACTGTTGGCTGCCTCTTGCACATGCCCAGCTGGGGACCTGGCCCACACAACCCAGGCATGTGTCCTGGCTGGAAATCAAACCAGCGACCTTTTGGTTTGTGGGAGGACACCCAACCCACTGAGCTGCATTGGTCAGACAGGCTGTTTTTCCATGTATTCCGGTCCCATTTTATTTCTTTCATTGGTACTTTATAGGTTTTAGCATACAGATCCCGTACGTGTGTCAGGTTTACACCTAAAAGAATCTGCACTTGTTTGCAGGGACTGTAAGTGGCGATGCGATGGTGAATGCCCTGTGTGTCGTAATCCCAGGTTCCAGGCGTTCACTGTTGGGGTGTCCAAGTGTGCTTTGTTTTGGGTATTGATTTTCTCTTCTGCAACTTTTGTAAACTCTCTTATCATTGTAGATCGATGGTGCAGTGTTTTCCATCTAGACAATCGTGTTTACCTGTGGAGAGGAGCCATCTTATTTCTTCCTTTTCAGTCTTTACGCCTCACCTCCTCTTGTCTCACCAGATGGCTGGGACCCCAGGCCTGTGTCAAGCGCCAGTGCTGAGAGTGGGCACCTTGCCACGTCTGATCTCAGAGAGCGGGACTCGGGTTTTCGCCGTGGCACCGGTGGCAGCCATGCTGTTTCGTGGATCTTTGTTACTGCAGCGAAGAAGCTCCTCTCTGCTCCTGGTTTGCAGAGCGTTGCTATCACAAACAAGTGTCGGGTTTTGTCAGATGGTTCCATGTGTCAGTCAGCGTGATCACATGATGTTTGTTTTCTCCTGTAGCCCATGGGCACAGTGGATCGCACTAACGGATTTTTGGATGTTGAACCAGACTTGCACCCCTGGAGTAAATTCCACTTGGCTAGAGTATGTGATTTTTTTTTTTGTGCATTACTGGATTAGATTTGTTAATATTTCGTTGAGGATTTTGTGTCTAAGTTTGTTTGTTAGAGATGCTAGTTTGCGGCGGGGGGGGGTCTAAAATTTAATTTCTTTCTTTTTTTTTATTGATTATGCCATTACATTTGTTCTATCCCCCCAATTCCCCTCCACCCTGCACACCCCTCCCCCACCATGCCCCCTCCTTTAGTTCATGAACACGTGTCTCAAGTTCTTTAGATTCTGTATTTCCCCTACTATTCTTACCCTCCCCCTATTTTCTATATACTGTCTATGCTACTTATTTTCTGTACCTTCTCCCCCCTTCTCTTTCTCCCACTCCCCTGTTGCTAACCCTCCACGTGATCTTCATTTCTATGGTTCACTCCTGATCTAGCTGTCCTCTCTTAATTTGCTTTTGTTTTAGGTGTGGTTGTTGATAACTGTGAGTTTGCTGTCCTTTCACTGTTCATCTTTTTTATCTTCTTTTTCTTGTAAGTCCCTTTAACATTTCATATAATAAGGGCTTGGTGATGATGAACTCCTTGAATTTGATCTTATCTGAGAAGCACTTTATCTGTCCTTCCATTCTAAATGAAAGCTTTGCTGGATAGAGCAATCTTGAATGTAGGTCTTTGGATTTCATGACTTGGAATACTTCTTTCCAG